ATTTTCCTTTTACGATGTATTTCACAATACTATAGTATGGTGAAACACGCACGTAGAATTCTCAAACACAGTACTATTTTGCCGTATACACACATGGGAAAATTTTTCAACCCTTGTTGACTTCGTGTACACACATGGGAAAATTTTTCAACCCTTGTTGACTTCGTGGAGTGTATCTAAATTTCTACGTGGGTAGGACATGCATATGCAAAAACGATCCAATGTTTTGGGTCATTGATCTAGATTCAGTGAATCTAGATCAATGACCCAAAACATTGGGTCGTTTTTACATGGATGACCACCATACTCTGAAATTTTTGAGAAGATCCAACCTATGAATACCGAGATAGGTTTTTGCCAGGGGAGTGGGGCTTTAATAGGTTTTAGAGAAAATCATTTTTGCAAAGTAGACCAGAAATCGACGATACCGTTTGATCAAGAAAACGATAATATTAGTTATTCGTTCAAAAAAATATCCGAAATATAACTATTTGCATAAATACCAAATTTAATAAATTATTTCCATAAAGCTGCGAGTAAGAGCATAAGTAGAATAAATCGATTTATCTGTGTACTTTCCTCTAGTTTTGACTAGCTACGGACGATTAAGCAATGAAGATCGGCCTTCTAAGTTTCATTTAAAAGGCCGCATATTACAGGTAAATAAAAATGCGAAAACACAAGCATAACAAAATAGCAAACAAATTAGTGAATAAAGAGCTTCTTCTACAACATCTTGTTAGTAGTATTAAATATATTTATTTATTTATCAATACAATCATTTGATTTCGAAACTATAATTTCTAGATAGTATAAATCATTCTGGGTCTATTTCAGATTTGAATGTAGTGGTTATACTGTCTTTTCGTCCAACCGCATGAAAAAAAACCGGCAAGGACACAAGGAAAGAAGAAAAACGTGTCAAATTAAAACAACAATGTAAAACAGCAAATGATTAATAATATATATGTTGCTGAGGCGTTTATTATCTTGTTTTCTGTTATTTGAAATGAATCTTTAGTTAATTCTAGAAGCTATTCAACGCAATCTTAAAATTTCTCATCATTATTAGTTAATACTCTCCTGATAACTAATTTATCAGAATGAGTTTTCGAAGTAAATTGGGAAGTTTATTCGGAAGAAATCAAACAAGGTATTGTATATTGTTGACATTAATCAAAAACTAAGTTAAATCTGACGATTGTTTTTGAGAGAAATAAGAGTGAGTATTTCTTTTTAATTAGAATATTCATCTGATTCGATGTATACTCGAACGAAAAACGTTATAGACCTTTTTGAGCGTGGTTTGGTTCTTCGTCTCTACGCAACCAGATGCTGGCAGTGTGTTTTTTAATTTCAGTTCGCAACCTGAGGACGATTATCCTCCTCCAGCGAATACCGCTATACTAAATTCAACAAACACTACGTTACCAACTTCACCACTCTCAGTAGGTCGAAAAGTATTTTCAAAAGAAAAGATAAATATTTTACGATTATTTTGATGTGCGAATAGAAAATTTTGTTTACCAGCATAGATTAACAGGAAATTTACTAAGAATTCCTACATTGAATGTATATTACCCCCTATCTATCTATATTGACTTCTATATTCAATCCGCAGTTATTTGATCATAACTCTGAAAAACACGAAATGTTGCGCTAAATCTTTAAAAGAGATGGACTGTATACCTTAGTATTGCCTTGATTTCTGGGAATTAGATTTGCATTCGAATATTTTCTAATAGACAACGGATCAACTTGTGTATTATTTTTCTAGACACATAATACAATAGAATCCAATATTGACACTACGCAAGAAAATCGCAATACTAATACTAGTCAAGTTTACTCAGCACCCCAACCCCCCTACACGCAAGAAAATCGCAATACTAATACTAGTCAAGTTTACTCAGCACCCCAATCCCCATACACAAGAATCTCTTCGACTCCTAATGCACCATCCAGTATATCTCAAAATCAGCCTCCAGCTGCACCTCCACGTCCTGGATTTTCAGGCAGTACTCTGTATCCCGGACCACCCTCAAATAATTTACTGTCAAACCAAAATCAAACTGCTCAACCACAAGCAATGTCTGCCATGCAAAAGCTTTTTGGAGGAGGAGGAGGAGGAGGAGGAGGAGGATTAAACCAAAATCAAACAGACAATATAAATAATCAAGGACTTTCTCAACAACCACCGTTGGGCAATCAACAAACATCACCACCACCAATACCAACACAAAATTCAAATAATTTTTCTCAAGGTATAGGCAATAGTTTTCAACAGCGGAATAGATCTAATCCAAGTTTCGGAAACATGCCTGGTGCATCTCAAGGCCCACCCAGTTCAGGATTGGCACCAATACAAAATCTGTTTGGGAGAACCGGAGGACAGCAACATCAACCGCTGCATGATCCACACATGCGTTATAAAGTTCGTGGCAATATAACAAATACTTTAGCAATGATGGATGATGAGGATCTAGTCAATAGCAATCGACAAATGAAAAACTGGAATCCTCCCTCTGAACGGATGTCGCGTCTAATGGCACGACCACATGAGCAAAATTATAATAACAACACTTCTCGTCTTGAATTAGAATATCCCATTGAAAATGTTTACGTAGGTCCAGACATTTCACCGTCGGTGGCAATCAAAGTCAATGAAGCCGTGGACAAAGATCGCTTGGGTAATCATTATCACGTACAGCGTTTTATATATGAGCCCGTTCGACAACAACTAACGTTGGGTACAGGAGAGCATATCCAACGTCGATTAATCGATCATCCTAACCATACGGGTGAAAGACACATGTTTGAATCTCCTCATTACAATTCAAATGTATTAAACAGTTTGGCAAATGATGAATACTATCCAGGAACACATCATAAACTAAGAAATAAATCAAGAGGATTTAATCATCATTTTGATATTGACAATGATCTTCCTCTTGAATCCTATTTTACAAATCCATCATTACTCATACCGAACACAAATCCCGTTGGACAATTTATTGAAAATTTACTTCGTACTCCAGGAACAACCATATGTAAACCATATAATTCTTTTGATTTATACAATCAGTTCACACAACCAACGATGTACCCGAATCAGATTGCATTTAATAATAATCTTCCAGTAAACCATTATGTGGCAGACGCATTGCCAAATGATCCAATGCGAAATTTCTAGGAAATGTTAACCAAAAACAACTGATATAACATCTTTTTTATTTAAACTTAAACATGTTTATTCTTTAACGACATATTTTATCCCTCTTTTTCTAAGTCGACAACTCAATTACTATCAACAGAATCCTTATGCTTGATGAAATTGTATGTAGTGCGCTCGTATTTTTAATACTCTTCAGTTTTATCGTCAAACCAAGGTGAACTGTTTTAGAATTTAAGAGAACATGCCACCATACATCTTGATGAAATTCGAGTAGATGAATGAAACATAATCTATCTATTTTATTTTTTTGCAGTCAGGTTAAATTACAAAAATTAATTTTTAAACTTTTATATGAAAATAGCGCCGAAATAAAAATAAATCCACTGACGTAATACTAAAAATCAATTCGACATTAGCTGTGCGCAAAAAAAGTTATGTATCACAAGTATTAATAAAGATAGATGCGTATTCTTGTCTAGACTATGTTAATTAGTGCTAAAACAATGTGTATCTCTATCCAAGCAAGTGTCAACAAAAATAATTTTTGCAGAAATTCTCACGAAGAAAACAAAGCACAAATGAGATGTGAACACAGCCCAGGTAGGCTGATTTATTGCTTCACGAAATTCAATGCAGCCCCATTGATACAATAGCGAAGACCAGTTGGTGCTGGTCCATCATTAAAAACATGTCCAAAATGTGCACTACACTAAAAAAAGACAACAATAAGTTTAGATGTAAAGTTGCATCTAATGTTTCAATCACATGTACCTTTGCACAATGAACTTCTGTTCGAAGTCCCATACTATAATCTTGTTTCGATGCAACATTATTGGGATTAACTGGTGAGAAGAATGAGGGCCATCCCGTTCCGCTGTCGAATTTGTGATCAGAACTAAACAAAAGACAGAGAAACAAGTTAATAAATAAAACATAAAGATAGGAATAAGTTTCACATTACCTGAATACCGGTGTATTGCAGACAACACATGTGTACAGCCCATGTGCTTTGTTGTTATTTAAAGGACTTGAAAAGGGCTTAAATATAAGAAAAATAATGAATTCTTCTAATTTCTAAACAAATACTGCTATAAAATAAAACATACTGGTTCTGTTCCATGTCGTTGTGTGACACTAAAAGCCATCGGACTTAGATTATTTAAATTCATTTTTTTATCGGATTCTGGTTGATCAACTACAGATTGGTCGGATGAAGGACGGGCTACAAAGGAAAACCATATACGTTCTTTCCAAATAATAAAGCAAATAACAACCGTACATGCTGTGAAAAGCATGCCTGAAACCGCTGTAGGAACTCGTCGAAATAGAGTGTAGAGAGATTGTAGCATAGTTATATCTGAAGTACGAAAAAATTGTTAGTATAATAAAAAATATGGGAGTTAGGCTAGAAGAGCAATAAGTAGACTTCTCCCTTACAAAAAGAGTCGAAAAAATAATTAATTGCTTTTACTTACTTTTTAAAAAAAAATGCAAGCTTTCGTTATTAGCTAATAATTAGATGAACTAATCTTATTAATACAGTTTTCTGTTTACACAAGTTAATTTCGAGAGTATGATATATCGGAAATATACTCGTAGGATACTGTCGCTGTATTACTGACTCCAATCTACATTTATATGAATCACACGACCACTGAAGCAAATCCTTTAGCATTTTCTCATTAAAAAATATTGAATAATTATGAATGTAGCATTGTGTTGTATTACTTTAATAACTGATCTTTTCTCGTTGCTTTTTCAGTTCAATCCAATTTCCTCAGAATTTTCTGGATCCCAATCAAAAATCCTTAAAACACCTTCAGAATGTTTCATCTCGAATGTTAACCCTACTGTTATGTAATATCACATATTATCCGATTAATCGGAAAAAGCGACATAATATAACATTTTCTTTTGCTTTCCTTTCATCTTCTCTGATTAGTTATACAAAACCAGCAATCAGAATGATTTAAGTGATAGTTGTTCATACAAATAAATAAAACAAAATAATAACCATCCCAATCTAAAACCAAGAACGATAGAGAAGAATTAATTAATAAAATATTGACTTCAAAGAATTGATAGAAAGTGTACAATATTCCTAGAATGCCATTCAGTATTTTAGAACGAAAGTCTGCAAGTTTTCGTTTTTGATTCGAAGTAACGTACTGATTTGACCTCCTGTGTAAATTGTACATTCAGTTCCAAAATCTATTTGAACGATGTATATTTCGTTTTCTTTTAAAACAGAGAACCAAATAGAACGAGCAGGGATATTAGATCCAAAGCAAGAAAATCAGAAAAACCTCAGAAAAGAAATTCAAAATCAAAAAATCAATAGACTTTTGAACAAAAAAGAGACGGGAAAAGTTCCAAAAAGCAGAAGATCTGGGACCCCTGAGAACGAGATATATGTAATTCCTGGAAAAAGGAGAGAAGATAAGGTATATTTGTTGCGAAAGATTGTTCTTTTTATCGTAGTGTAGTTTAAATACTTCAAGTTCTCATTTTGGTGCTATCGATGTTAAATTAACTTAGTGTACGACTATAAACTTTTCATACAATTTCTTCTATTATTTTAAAAACGTCTCTCTAAAGAAAGCGCTATGTAATGACCAGGGACCTTGGCAGAAAAATTCTAATTGGAACTTTTTCTTCCTCTTTTGTGTTCAAAAGTCTATTGATTTTTTGATTTTCTTGCTTTGGATCTGGTATCCCTGGTAATTACCCACAGTGCACATATTTTTGAACAATCTATTCCTTTCAGACATGAACAGACCGGTGAAAGTACTTTTTATCGCGAGTGAAAATGTTCCAAATCATTTTGTTAATATTGATGATGCTGAATATATTAATGAACAACGACAAGAACAAATGGAAAAAAGTTTGTTTTTTCTCTGATTATAATAAATAAATATTATACATGTTTTCATTTTGTTATAGAGCCAACAGTGGGAAAAAAATTATCTAAATCAAATATGAATCGTATGTTCTTACTTCTTACTTCTTACAACTTATTATCTAATTTTATTATTCTCACGTTTTAGAAGCCACTTTTCATCCCATCGTTGATGAACTGAGTGAATCAAAAGAGAATGTTTTATCACAACGTCCTATCAGTCATATTCTACCGAGATTTCCTTATCGGCATTGTGAGTAGTTGATGTAATCATAAAATAGCCTATAGATTAAATGGTTTTTCATTATTTTATTAAAAAGGTAATTTGAAACAAAAAAGACGACGACAAATACAAAAGAAGAACATTGGAACAAAGAAAAATTTATTACAAGGTAGACTAATTTTCGAGTGTATGTTTTTAAGTCATATCTAGGTTTGTCACTGTTTTTCAGAGACAGAAAATATCGATGTAAATTATGATGAAATTGATATTGCTGTTGATGAACACGAAGTCGAAAATACACAAACTCATGATGTAAAAATATCTCTTTATTATGTTTTTGAATAATAGTAAGAAGAATCAATTTCATTTATTAAGAGTGACAATCAAAAACGATTTAAAAACAATCTTCTACATCTCTCACCTAATGACATACACAACACTGCACTATCAATACAAGAACTAGCAACAAATGGAAAAATCAAAGACTATATTATGCATAATATCATAAAAGATGCTCAGATTTTCAGTCAATGGTTTGATTTGCTTCGGTATGTTCAGTTTGATTTTATATATCTTGTTTTCTAAAATACAGTGAAACGAGTAAGAATTTTGCCTAGTTACGAATGATCATTACTAAGAAACAAATCTGATATTATATAATCAACACCAATCTTCAAACTGATATGTTGTCTAATGATCGTGTGTGATTTCTTTTAGATGTGGTTTCAGTGTATTACTTAGCGGTGTTGGATCCAAAAAATCAGTTGTAAAGTTATTTTTCAAAAAATATTTAAAAGGAAAATATCTTTCGTTTATTATTCACGGTTATTTACCGAATGCAACGTTAAAAGAGGTGGATATTCATGATGTTTATTATCAGCCTATAGGCACACAAAAATATTCATTTGTTTAGGTCTTACAATCAATATGTGATTGTCCTGATATTGCGATTGATATGAATACCAGAAAAAGTGAAGAGTGTATGTTGGAAATTATCAAACAATTAGAGAATAAAGGTAATATAAAAATTAGAAGATGTTGTACAATACTCATTTTCTGAGCAAAATTGTAACGAGTTAGGACTGTTTCATTTTAAGACCGTCATTATCACAAAACAGGATCACAACGTCGTATCTGCTTGCTATATGACCTACGTAATTAATTTCGAACGATTATTAGCTTCATTTTTTTTTCTTGTAGCGCTGCACATCTATCTGTTGATTAATAATATTGACGGGATGAATTTTCGGAATTCAAGCGTTCAGAATGTCTTTCAATTAGCTGCAAAATGTTCTTACATCCATCTGTTAGCCACAATCGATCACATAAATGCACCCCTAAGTATACTTATCTTTTTCTGTTTATATACGTGTTTCTACAACAGTTTATTGTGTTTTCTCTAGTTTGGAATCAACAAGGTATGTTAGAAAGTTTTAATTGGATATTTTTTGATGTTCATACGTGGCTTCCATACATTGATGAAACAGTAAACGAGCGTCTGGTTACAAGTCGAGCACAAACTGGTAAGATATTCGCAAAAAGTTTCAGAGAAAGATTTCGTTTACATATTTTATCTTTCAGGTCATCTTGCCGTTAGTGCTATTGAACATGTTGTTGAAAGTTTAACACCGAACGCCCGACGAATATTTCGTATTATTGTTGAAGCGTATTTAGCAAATTCGAAAGATTATGATGGTAAGCATGCCTAGTTTTGTCTGTCTCGTGTGGTTGATAACCGTTCATCTATTTGTTTTCAGGAATGAACTTTTCCGAATTATATGATATATCTCGACGCTCATTTTATGTCAATAATGAACAAAGTCTTCGATTACAATTAGTAGAATTTATTGATCATCATCTTGTTAAATTACGAAAAAGTTCAGCAGATGGACAAGAAGTTGTACAACTACTTGTAACCGAGCTAGATATGTTGAAACATATTTCAACGAAACTAAACTAGATTTAACTATTGTTGTCAGATTGTCAATTGTCAGATGTAACACTTTTGTTTGTAAATTTATCCAATTAAAGAGAGTCACTAATTTTTGATGGATATCTATGACTCAATTTTTTTTATATCAGACACAACTTTTTTGTGTATTAGACGTTAGAATATTTGTATATTTCTTCAAATAAATGACGACGGTTTAATTCGTGATATTTTTGATGAATGACAGCTGCAAACCAATCAAGACGTTTTCTCATCATCCGAATGGAAAGCAAGCTTTAAAAGAGCAACACGTTTCCCTAGACGAGACCCCCGACAAAACTCCCACGAGATCCTGCAGGAGTCAGAAAGGGCTTTCAAGGGACCCCTAAGGACAACTGTGGGAGTTTCGACTAGGATTGCTCTATTACAAGTCATATTAAAGCGAATATACAAATTTGAATAATAATTTGAATAATAATTTGAATATTATTTTTAGAAATATATATGAAATAATTTAGTATCTTCAAAAAACTCTACTATAGAACTACTATCTACATTTCAACAATTTATTCTTAACTTATGTAGTCTTCAGTCATATAAATATTTAAACGCTTATTATCTCCTTTAACAATTACAACAGACGTTAACTGAGGCAAAAATTTTAGTTTGCTCGAATTAATATGTATTATATACTACTATATATAGACTTACTTTAACGAAAGTGAAATTTTTGAGTTTGATGTATTACATTGATAAATTTTGAATTGTATGAAAACTGATCAATAAATAAAATTCACTAGTCGGTTCTTAATGAAAAACTATTTTTTTTTC